ATGGATGGATGGATGGATGGATGGATGGATTTTTCCAGGTGTTTAAAGAAGTGGTACTGGGTTATACTTTCCCAGTAAAAGAAGTGGGAGAGAACCAGTTAAATAAAATATTGTTATTGCTGTTCAACTGGTGTCAGATTCCTTTCGTTTCACACGTTGTTCTTTTCTAAAACAGATTGCGGGGACTGAGCGTGTTCTGCATTATAAATACTGCAGCTGCTTAAACCACGGGGAGCCCAGTGGAAATGATTTGTTGATTTGCTGAAACCTGACATGGCCCGCTTCCTTAGTGACCACCACAACCTCTGAGCTCCCTTCCTCAACTCTCAGAGCTGCAGTCGCCATGGCAGCCGACATGTTTGTAACCTCCCTGTGGGAACACGGCGGCCTTAAGTTTTAGGATCCTTTGGCTTATTTTGATTTTGCAAAAGAAAAAAAAAATCAGGAATGCAGTTGGTCTGCCATGAAAATATTTAGGTGTTAGATTGGGGGTAATTGCTTTTGGATGTTGTTTTTATTGGTGCTGTCAGAACACTTTGGAGCCAGATGAGTGTGGCTCGCCACAGAAGTTTAATGTGAAGCAACAACAGCGAAATATTGGTCAAGTCAGATTTTATGGCACTGTTGAGGGTAAAAGAGTAAATAAAACCAAGCAGCCATGATGACTGTTCTGCCTTCCTGCTCTAATTTGTGTTTTCCTAACCCTCCGAGTGGAACCTGACCCAAGCAATCACACAAAAGGAAGCGATGTAAAGCACAAAAACACTCCACCCCGTTTCACCGGGAAGGACGTCACTACAGGAGCAGCTGAAGCTTCCTGAGAGCAGCTCACAGCACCACCTGCTGTCTGCAGACGCTAGTCAGTCCCACCTTGTTGTGTATCACCACCACGTTGTGGCTGTCGGCGCTCAGCCAAGTGTCCATGGCTTTGCAGATGCTGCAGATTTTATCCAGGGCCGGAGCGTGGTGGTCAGGCCAGCCGAAGTCCAACACCTTAAAAAGAGGAAGGGTCGGGATGAATGTTTCTCAAAAAGTGGAGAAGAAGAGAGGAAAAGAGAAGTGAAACTACCTTTGGGTTCAGCTGACTGATGTCATGGCGCTTCTCACTGAGGTTAAAGAGCTAAAAAAGAGGAGAGAACAGATGCATTAAGAAGGGTAATAGTTTACCTTAAATTTTGTTGTCGTTTTATTTTTGCTAGAATCCTTAAAAAAACATCAGAGTCCAAAAAGCCAGATCAGTCTATTTGTGTTCTTTCATGTTGTTCAGGTTGGCATGGCAACATAAAAAAATCTTCGACACGCAAGCACTTCCAGTCTTTAAAGCAGGTCTGGTTCTGGTACCAGCACCAGGTTCTCTAAAAGCAGAGAGAACAGAAAACCTCTGATCATCATTTCATACCTAAAAGCATCACTTTCCTGATTTTTTAAAACAGGTTTTAACCAGGAGGGAACTCAGATCCTCCCTGGGAAGAAATCTCTTTTTGCTAAAAAAAAAAAAATGATTTTCTTGAAAAATGAACTTCAATATTCATAACCGTCTTACTTGTGATGACATTACACCTCTGAGCAGAAGACCTGTGCAGAGACAGCTGCAGACTGCCCAGCTTATCCTCTCCTTTCATGTATGTAAACAACATGGAAGTCGTTTGAACGTGTCAACTTTCTTCAGAAGCTTGTCCTAATCTGGTAATAGCTGTTTTATATATATATATATATATACATATATTTATTTATTTTTTGTAAGTCAAATCTTCCTGAAAATTAAAAACACAACAAACCGTTTGATTTTCACCAGGACAATGATGCTGTTAAACACATTTTATATGGGGCCACCTTAGCATTCATATCAAGTCTTTTAAATAGCTGAAACTTTTTTTTTATCATTCAATTTTAAAACACCTGCTGCAATGAAAATATAATGTTACTATCTTTTATCTAGCAGTTTAACCCACTTTGCATACTTAAAACAAACACATATGTCTTAATTTCATGACATGTTGCTCCTCTTTCAGCTCTGAACGCGCTGGTTAAAGATCTCTATGTTCTCCAACTAACAGAAGCAAATGAGGAGTCCAAGTTCCATTGGGACAACAGTAAATGTCTCATCTGGTTGATTGCAAACAAAATCTGGAAACCAAACAGCAGCAGCACCAAACTCTGTTCCACATTATGAGGACATTTTTTTGTCAAAGCTGATTGTTCAAATGATGAAGACCTATTATATGTTTGAACACATTAAATCTCAGCTAATCCTTCCCATCTGGAAGCAGAATGTTCAGTTAAACCTAAAACCACATCAGAGTCACCGCACCAGGTAGTTGTGTCCGTGTTTGGAGCGCAGCATAGAGGCCACCTCCCTGAGGTTAGCGGCGTAGCTCTGCTCCTCCACGCTGCTGGGGAAGGACACCGAGATGATCCTTTCTGTGATGTAGATCAGGTCCAGCTCGTAGCCTTCATCCAGCGCCTGCAGGAGGCTCGCACTTCTGTACAGAAATCAAAGAGAGCAAAACGTCATGATGGGGGGATTGCTGTCAGGGAGTCATTGCAGACATTCAGGGGTTTCAGACATCGAGTGGCTGCTTACGACATCAGCATGCCTGTTCTGGTTCTACTCAGGGTTGCAAAATACATTTCAACACATTCCTGCACCTCCTTGGAATAAACAACCTAATATGGAGAACATGCAGCATAAACACCAAATCTACAGCAGCACCAGCGGGTTCCTGCAGCCTGACAGTGATACGGGCTCACCAACGATGACAGGTCATGTGGTCAGACTGCAGAGCAAGGATAAAGGGATTAATTTATGGATCCCAGCAGAAGAATGCGAGCACCTCACAAGTTCACCATGTGATGAAGGGAAAAGGTTCCTTACAACTCTGTTGGGACACTATTTTGCTGCAGCTACGTGTCACTAGAGGTGAAAGTGGGTCAGGTAAGAGGAAGTAAGAGGGGAAGAGACCCAGAACTGGATTCTAAGAGACGTGATTTTCCCTCAACACGCGTGAAATTGAAATTTTCCAAACCGAAGACCTAAAAGGTCCAAACAGAAAAAAAACATCCTTGGTATTTGATCTTGGTGGATCTGCAGATACCAATCTGTTAAACAGCTCCCCAAAAAGTTTAAGTTAAAGAACATTCCACTGAACTTTGTTATCCAAGTTTGAAGACGTTTTACTTCCCATCCAGGAAGCGTTCTCAATTCAAAATGTCTGGATTAGCGTTGGAAAACTTGGAAAACAAAGTCCAGTGGTTTGTTTTTTTAACTTTTACTTTTTGGAAAGACTATGACCTGGATGACTGAGAATCTCCACCAGCTCCATTTGCAGGATTCAAGCTTTTTTCAGGTGTTTTGTCGAGATGCACCAATCAGGCCTCTCTAGGTTCCGATCCACTCATTTAAAAAAAGAACAGATAATGAAGAAAACGATTGAGAAACATTGATGATGAAAGCTTCTTTTCCTGATCTCTACATTCTGATAGTTTATAGAATAAAAACCAAATAAAAAGGAAGAAAAAAAAGGTTAATGCATTTATGGACTGAAAGATTGTGGGAGTTTTTATTTTTTATCTATGTAATAGTAAATAAGATTTTGAAAATATCTGCTGTTTTTACATCAAAGAGAATGTATCAGGTTCTGATCTCTGGATTTATGCACATTTAGATTTTTGTTTTATATATTTAAA